ATGTTAAAAGTCCAATCCCTTGATTACTCATTTATCCATTTTGTTGTTGTTGGTGTTGCTGCTGCTACTGGAGTCGTTCAATGATTTGTTGTTGTTCCATTACCATTCTTCGCAATTCGGTAATATCCATATTGGTTTGATTAGGATTTTCTATTGTTGATTCTTGATTTGATCTTGATGGAGGAGGACTTCGCCTCAATTTTGGCATTTACACTTTACTGTTTGTATTTTCACAAAATTTTTGGTGTCACACAAACTTTAGTGTCCCGCCGCTGTCACCAAATTTATGTCACGTCTTAGTTGATTTTAAAACGTGTTAATTGTCCTTTTTGGGTCAATGGATTTAACCACTTTACCCTGGGATGGACAAGTTCGTGTAATTGTGAGTGAGTAAATGTGTAAACGTATGTGTGTGTACAAAATAATTATTTTACTTACTGATTCTGGTTGTATTGATTCTTTCTTTTAAGAAATTTTAAATTATTTTGAAGTCCTTCTCGTACTGTAGTTACAGAGAGACTGAAGAGCTTAGGATCGGACTTAAGAGGTTGGTGAAGGTTTGGGAATATGAGTAAAGTGTAACGTGACGCTTAGGTCAGGGGATATGTTAGGAAAACAAACCTTTATCTATCCAATAACTTATTTACGATTTTTAATGTTTTATCTTAGTGATCCAATTGTTATGTATATTGTTTGTATTTTATAAGTTTAATTAATTAATTATAAACTGACTGATTGATTGTCTGATTGATTGACTGATTCCTTGTCTCTAGTCTGATTTCTTGTCTCAAGTCTGATTTCTTGTCTCTAGAGGTGTGTGGGCAGTCGCATCCGTTTTTATAGGCAGGTGGCGAGATACCCCCGCGTGAGTTCTCACCACCTTTTAGTAGAAGGGGAAAGATGCTTCTCACGACATGTGAATAATAATCAATAGTGAAATTTTGACACCTTATTATCAGTCCATTGTTCTTTGACCACCCAGGGCATTTATTGCATTCCTGGTGGTAACAGAAGGTGCACTCGGTCGAACTGAAGAGAAGTTACGTCGGACGTAACACCTTAAACGAAATCCGCAGGAGTTTTTGCGTCGAGTCATCACCGTTAATGAAACCTGGATCCATTACTATACACCAGAGACCAAGCAACAGTCAAAATAATGGACTTTTTCAGGCAAATCTGCTCTGAAGAAGGCAAAGACGGTCCTATCGGCCAGAAAGGTCATGGTCACGATTTTTTGAAATTCGAAGGAAATAATCCTCATGGACTTTTTGGAAAAGGAAGCACGATCACGGGGCAGTACTACAGTGAATTATTAGATCGATTCGACGAGAAATTGAAGGAGACACGGTCCCATTTGGCAAAGAAAAAACTACTGTTCCACCACGACAACGCACCAGTTCACTCATCCGGAATCGTCCCGGCCACATTGCATGAATTGCATTACGAATTGCTGCCGCACCTACCGTACTCGCCCGATCTGGCTCCCTGCGACTTCTTTTTGTTCCCCAACATGAAAACGTGGCTCGCAGGAAAAAATTCAGCTCAAACGAGAAAGTCATCGTCGAGATAGAAGACTACCCTAACAGCACGGGGACGTTCTGAGTAGATCGCAATGCGTATATTGCGGTCATTTCAGAATGTTCTCATATGTACTGCGATCGACTGAGTACGTTCTAAGTACGTCCCTATGTCTGGGATAGCAGCTACTATAAAATTTCGCTGCGAATGTCGTGCGAACGTTCGCAGCGATGTTGGCAGTCTCAAGACGGAATGAAAACGGGAAAGTTTCAGTACATCATGTATAGACGCACACACACATGTGCGCTCATATATAGGTTAGGTTAGGTTATTAATTGAATATTTTTATTTTATTATAACTTCGTTCTTATTAATATAAATTCTTTTACAAATAAATAATATACTCTTTTTATGAGATTATTTATAACAGACTTTTATAAACACAAATAATCTAATTGATTGCGATTCATCGTCTCTGCAGCGTTCTCGGCCGTCGGTGAGCGACGCTTTCAACTACTTGGAGTCGATGGGAGCCAGCGATAGCAGAGAATCTTACACTAGGAACATTTACTGCTAATGGCATCTTCACATAAAACCAATAAGCAAATGCTATGCTGCTTTAAAACCTAGGATAACCTCAAACTCTTTATCAGAATATTTGTATGAAAATTTCTACGAAATATTAAAAAATATTATGTAATTTATATGTAAAAATTGTTTCGCTAACTTTATTCAATATTTTATGGAATTAAAATAAAGGAGAAAAAGGATTACCTTTGATATTAATTAGATCGATCAATCGATCTGCCTCGTCACTGCTCGTCACCATATTAATGGACGGTACCCACGCTACTCGGCTACCGGAAAAAGATCGAAACAAGAATGACGTATCAGATAGCGTTGGTATACGTACCGTTTCCGTACCTTGAGTTGGTACCCGAGAAATACGTGCGCGATACAAATGCGTACGTATCATTTCAGTCAAACCTGAGAATGTACGCACGCGATAGAAAAACGTACGTATTATTTCCGCATCCCTGAGTGAAATCTGAGAACGTTCGCGGGCGAAAGAAAACCGAATGATATTATAAGTGACGTTCTAGCGTTCAACTTAGTACGTCACAGATGATCACAATACAATGAGTACGAAAATGGGATGATATGCAGTACGTCGCGTGCTGTTAGGCTATTTTGACAAATCGTGTTTTTTGGAGGAGTTAAAGAAATGGCAGGGACATTGGGAAAAGTGTATCATCCTAAAAGGAGATTACGTTGAAAAATAAAAAATTTTTGTAAAAAACTTGCGTCTTCATTCCTAACACGGGTACTTATTGATCCACTCTCGTATATTGTCACGTCCCCGTGATGTCTATGACAAGCAGGACGGGAGCGGCTCCGCCGTGCTGAGTTTTTGGTGGTCGAACGTCGAGTCTCCGTAAAAGCTTACCCTTACTGGTAGTCATATTGGGTCGACGGGATTGGTGAATGAATGAGAAAGGATGAAGAAAAGGAAAAATAATAAAAATATAATGTCAGATATAACCAAACGAAGAGGTTTATTAGGCGAGCTATTCGAAATAGCAACGTTTACACAATGTATACGCACTCGCGGCGGTACGTGCGCTTAAGCTAGATATTGAGTACAATGGATGTGGCAAGACTTACATTCGATGCTCCGGACAATCTTAGATTATTAGCTGAGCCACGCACCTTAGGAATACTTGGAGAAGGGGTTTGGTAGAGTTTGGCTCGCTTCGATGACCGATGGTTTATTATATACTTTAATCCGTATGCACTGAGAAGAGGTCACAGTGGTTCACTGAAATTCACTCGCGACCGAGCAGATAGGACCCGCGACTTTCGCGGGTTTTTCCGCGAAAGAAAAGCTTTAAAACCTGGATTGCTTAATGATATAGCACAAAGTACAATAATTTGGAAAGAAACACCCTTGAGTATTGTGACCGTTTCTTAACAAATCCGAAAGATTTAGAAAGATTATGATGAGTGATCGTCTGTCGCGAAATCTGGGTGGTAACTAACTTGTCCGCAGGGGTAGCGGACGTTAAGAATACCTTCAACGTATGGCATGCGTGTCGTAAAAGGCAATTAAAAGGCTCTCATGGGTAGGTTGCTGCGCCCATGAGTATTAGGAGCCGGAGGGCGCCCCTCCTTCTCGCTTCAGAAAGGAAGTGGCTCCCAAAGGCATCTACAGCAGGGGAGCGCACCAGATCCCTTATGCCAGTATGGTACCGGTCTCTCGGGTGGGCAACGCTCGAGAGTATTAAGGGGAGGCGAGCGCGCCCGGTTGTCCTTAGGGCAGCCGGTGCGGGCGAACCGACCTCACCACGGGGGCTGTCGGATCCCTAATGCCTACATGGCAACCGGCCTCTCGGGTGGGCAGCTGCGTTCGGGAGTAGCAAGATCCTCGGTGAATACTTCACCGAGGATCCACAGCGGGGGCAGGGCAGGCTCCTTAGGTTCTGTTGAATCAAACTGCCCTAGGGGGCAGCCCAAAAAGCCGCCCGGGTTAGGGAGCCGCCGTTGCACCCCCCCCCCATTAAAATTTATGATGATTTCGACAAAAGAGAAGACTTCCGGCGGGTCGGATACGTCGGGTCGGCACGGCGGGATTATGGTCCCAGGCCCCTTCCTGTCGTCAACATACGATGGGCCGGGCAAAGCTGCCGGGGTGTCGACGGCGGGCACCTCGGTAGTTGGGACTACCGCCGCGGGGAGGGGGGAGGCATTCGTAAGAGAGACAGGGGTGGTGAAGAGGGAGACTGAGACTGGAGGGGCCAAGAGAAGGAAGCTGGAGAAAGTGGAGAAGGGGAAAAAATAGATACCGGGACAAAGGAAGAGCATGTGAAGGAAAAAGAAATAGAAACGGAAGAGGAAAAATGGCCGAACTTCGAGAGCAAGAAAGATACGAGGAAGTTCATCCTAAATGTGCTATGTCACGCAAAGGAAAGCGCCGGATTCATGTAAGAAGTTTACAGTAAAAGTAAGAGAATGAGCATTAAGGAAAAAGAAAGATTAGCTATCAGGAAGGAGGAATTGGTCGCGTACTGCGAGGACATGGCTAAAGTATTTGGGATGAGGACTGAGTACTTGGAGAAGTTGATATGGGAAAGGGATGGAATTTTGAACGCGTATGAGTTTGTCAGGAGAGCTGCAGGTGGCAGCCTCCTGTTTGGGTTGGCCGGACTCGGGAAGAAAGGGGAGGCGGACGCCCTGGCGGCTTAGCTCAGGGCGTCGCTCTCAGGGATCGTGGTTACGCGGCCCACTAAGATGGGGGAGGTCCGACTCGTCGGTTTTGACGAGACGGTCCTCCCAGAGGAGATTATAGAGGTCCTCGCTGCGCGAGGTGGATGTGGGCCGAGCGAGATCCGCCTGGGCCCCATCCGGTGGGGTTGGCGGGGCGAGAAGTCCGTGCGGGCACGGCTTCCCCTCGCCTTGGCCGCCAAGGTGGCGGCCGAAGAGAGGATAGCGCTGAGGTGGGCGGGTGCGCTGGTAGAGATGCTCGCGGCCCGCCCTCTCCAGTGCCACAAATGTTGGAGGTTCGGCCACATCTGGGCGGCCTGCTCCTCGTCAACAGACCAGAGCGAGCTATGCTACTGGTGTGGCCGGGCCGGGCACATCGCGCGGGTCTGCACCGAGTGTGTGGCCTGCGCGATGTTCCGAGAGGATGGACGGGACTCGGGCCACCGGGTGAGTGATCCCGAGTGTCCGTTGTTAGTGGGGAGGGGGTCCGGCAGGCAGGCGGCCGCCGGGCCACCGGAGGAGACGACCGCCGAATGCGGTCGGTCCGGGCTCCCCCATGGGAGGCGTGCCGGCGGATCCCGAGAGCTCGTCCCGGGATCCTGCCGGCGGAGAGGGCCCCGGTCTGACCATCTAGACCGGGGCCCCGGCGTCGACTGAACACGCGGTCGGCGCCGGGAGGAGACGGGACCGGGGACGGGGCCCATACGGGCTCTTCGTCCTGGGGTGGCTCGTCCCTGGGGTGTGTATGCCCTGTCCCGGTCTCCTCTCTCCCCTACGGGTCGCTGGAGGATGTGCGGGGGCGCACCCTCTTAGTATAGCGGCCCGGGAGGGAGGCGGCGCGTGTTAGGTCGCACCGCGCCGCTATTAGGAGGGATCGCGACCGGGGGTGACTTACCCCTGGTTCGGGAGGTGTCCTCTGGACAGCGGAGGGGGGCCCGACGGATGTTATACGCAAGTAGTTCCCACGGGCCCCCTGACAACCGCCGAGGACAAACCCGGCAGGGGTTTTAGTGGGTAGGGTCCCCGTCGATCTTCTTCGGCGGGGGAGGAGTCCCACATAACCCGTGGTCTCCTCCCGGAGACCGTGGGTATGCGTAAAGCATTTCCCCTGGCTTAACAAAAAAAAAGTGTGGTAACTAACTGACGCGAATTAGAAATCCGCGATCACCGATCCTTCTCCGCGCTTCTCGCAAAGTGCTGGTCCGCAGTTTTTCGGTGGGAACGCTGACGAGCCTAGTCGTGCTTGGTGTTCTCCGTGTCCCGTGAAAGACGGATTATGCACATCCATTCTCACGGGACTAAGACGCAAAGCTCAGCAGTGAATAGTGTTACAAAAAGGCGCAATCAAGAAGTTAGAAGTCACTGGGCTCCGCATTCGCATGATGATAAAACACATTAAATTTAACTCTGGAAATCTTATATGTGGGATGCTTAAAATTATCTATATTTATTTTGCGCATAACCAATAGTTGCCAATATATGCAACGGAATCAGACGACGGAGGGGGGGGGGGGGGGGGGAAAAA